AAGGAAACCTGCTTTTGGGGGTCTCCTATATACATATCTACCTAATCTGGTACCCTCTTTGCTAAGTAGGACATCAAGAAAACGTAAACCACCTTTCTTTTCTAATTAGATGGTGAATTTCGTCTTGCAATCGATCCTGTTATCAAACCAAAAAAATTCTCCAGGTGGCACTCATTCTTTATGTATTTTGGGCAAATCATATGCATTCGGAAGCCTAGAATCTCTTTTAAGAAACGTGTTCGTCTTCCATTTATCGAGTTCCCAGTTTGTTACACAATGCTGCAGGCAACCCCTGTGTCTAGACTTAAGGGTTTATGTAGGGCCCCTTCTCATTACCTTGTATGTCGTGATGTCTTCCAAAGCTTGCATAATTTTTTTTACATAGATCAATTTATCCATAATTACCACTTATCCTCCTTTGTCTACCCTCAACACCCCTTGTTTCTTATCTTCCAGTTTCCTTGTGATGTTTTCCACTCTTTTATTCCTGACACTGACAATCTTTTAATGCAAGACTGTTGTAGAAGCCATATGATGCCATGAGTTAGCTCTTGATTAATGATGTACCAGCTGCCCTTGTCGATCCGAGGTGGGTGAATTCATGGAAAAATCAACCATGCTATGTATTCTTCCCACTAAATACAATTTAAACTCCTATTTAATATAAATGCAGGATTTATCTACTGCTTATTTTGGATAGCTTCGAAATTGTACTTGATTTTTTATCTGATTTTAATTTATCTTTTAAAAATCATTAATTATAGGATTGGGAATTTACCTCTGTTCGCTTCTTAGCGTTATTCACCTAGGATAGTCCGCCTTTAACTTTTATATTCAAAGTAAACGCTTTTCTGGATGTGGCCTTATCTTGTCCACTGATAGTCATTGGTAGGTTTGCGACTGTTATATGTGCCGAAAAAACATTATTTTTGTATGAATCTATCACACAAACCTTCTGGAACCATGACATTCGAGTTTAGTTAGCCTAATTCTTCAGGTAAGCATTGACTCTTTTCCTGCCTTGATGCAGATGGATGTTCCATTTATTTCAATCTTGTATTTTCTCCCGTTTGACTTACTCCTCATCAAAATTTGCTCATTTTAAACATGTAGGACAAAATATTTTATCGGGCTAGGCCTAAATCTATACTTCTATTAATAGAAGTGGGTTGACCTCGTTGTCGCAACCAGAGGCCACAACATCTTGGTCTTCATATATTCAACTACACTTCTATTGCTCAAAGCAAAAGTTAGGACAAAATTATGCATAGTGGACACCCTGACTCAGAAATTTTGACCGGTTTGGTTGTACCTAGTGATAAACCTTTCTTGTTTTTTTTGCTCATTCATGTTCTTCATTTTTCAACTACTTTATGAACAAGGAGATCCATCAAATCTCAACACCAGCTTCAGCTCTTTCACAAACCAGACGACTGCTGTCACAGATAGTCCGGCTCTTCTAGGTTCTGTTGGTGGTGGTGGCACTGGTGCTGGGGCTGGAACTTCACACCACGCCTCAAATTGCAGTAATCAGATAACCTGGCAGTCTCATCAATTCCAGCGCATGACATTTCGCGTTGGCACTACCCTTTGTGCCGTCTGTTTGCGGCCCTGTTCTGACTTCCGAAATCCACCTCCAGCTCTAGAATGTGTGAAATGTCACATGCGAATCCATCTGAGTCACGTAGATCGACACGAAAAGTTCATGGCATGTCATAATGCCACCAAAACTCTGCTACTTAGGATGCCCACAGACGCTGAAAAGAAGGTGTGGATTTCGAGGATTCTGGCATTGCGCGACCGCCTTCGTGTAATCCAGCAACAGACTCCCGATCTTCTAATTGACTCCGCAGCCTGCGCTCCCTCTGTATCTCTAGTTGGATCTGGTGGAGTATTGGCGTCAGGAGTTGGAGGATTTAACAGTCTAACGGGTGGATCGAGTGGGGGAGGGGGACCGTTAACCAGTCTTACGGCTGCTATCA